AGAGCTCCGGAAATGAAGAAAATAATTGATACTGTACGATATATATAAGCAATCCGTGTATGATCATTTGGTATATGAACTGTATAGTATGATTGAATCAGATTCGAAGCAGGGAATTTAGTATGTACTATGTGTTTTGAAGCTAAGCGAGGGGGAAATGGATCTACGGGAATTGTAAGGATGGATGTCATAATAACTTGACGTAGAGGGAAACGTACCCGCAAGATTAAGGAGGCGGACTGATGCCGAAACCGCGCTTATTCTGCGCGAAGGGATATGAAGCAGTGTTACGGCGCGCACCTTACAACGCTGCTTCATATCCCTTCGCAAAGAGCAAGAACTTCATCAGCCAAGCCCTCCATACGACAGACTACATCATCACCATCTCAGGAGTTGGAGGCGCAGGTGGCGGGTGAGGAACTGGTGGTGATGGTGGTGCTACTGTTGCTGCTGGAGACGGGGGAGTCAATGGTAGTGGTGGCGGTGGTGTTTGAGCATTGTTATCATCATCAGCGTTATGCCCATCATCCGGATGCGAATTATGTTCAGGAGATGGAGAAGGGGGAGGGGGAGGAGTGGCGAGTCCGAGGATCTGGACGAGCTCCTTGCGTTTTTCCGGGAGCAACGCACGCCCTAGCCTTAGGATATGAGTTGTAATATATTGTTCTGGCTGGCCAGGGTTGATCGCGAGCTTATATTCTGGCTTGAGCATGACGCAACGGGGCTTGATGGTCGCGAGCTTCTTCATCACCTCGACACGCCGTTGCCAGGAAAGGTAAGAGAGGCTCTTCAGGAGTTGAAGCTGGATTATGTCCTGTCTCACATGTTCAGCCTTGCAGTGCGTGCCAAACATCTTCTTGCCAACAGCTAAGGCGATACCGCCGCCAGCGGATAATGAGACCACAATAAGAACAAGATCGAAAATGAGGCTGTCGTTGGAGTCATCACCGATGGCGTAGCCACTTAGTTCTCTAGGAGAGCGACGACCTGCGTGCTCTATGGAACTCGTGGATTCAGTTTGCTCGGGTATCAGACTTGTTGTGAAGGATCCTTCAAAATCCGTTGGCTCAGGATCCACCAGAATTGGGCGAGTGTACCGAACTCTACGACGGCGCTTGATGCGAAAGGTATCATCAATGTCATCAATGGGCTCAGCAGGATCCAACGCGAGTAGCTGGGGCAGTTCTGCGATGAGTGGAGGAAGTTCCAGAGATGGGAATGCAGTGTCAATCGATTGAATTACCTTGCCGAGTACGTGAAAGGCAGCTTGGTGGGAACGGAAAACGACATGAAGAAAATTATCAATCAAAGCTATCGCGTCTGATGTATCCACTGTTCCTGCCGGATCGAAGTAAGCCACAACAACCCGTAGACCCAAAGAGATGAGAGATGAGACATCCGTGTGCGCCAGCGTCCACTTGATGCCGTATTGAACCTCTTCTGGTGTAGGTAAGCGGGATGGTAGAATCAAGTCATAGTCGTACGCATCATCCGAAGGTGCTGCCGGAAGCTGGAGGACAGTCTCTGTCGCGTATACGCTAGCAGCTACGTCATCTATGATCCTTAGCCAAGCGATAGACTCGATTAATCCAATCTCGAATCCAGGTGTGAGCGAACGGACGGCCGCACGAAGAACGATGTTGCCAACGGTAACGTGATCCAGAGAGTAAAGGAAAGCTGCGACTCGATGGATAGCTCGTTTGACGAAAGACATAGCGACTTCTCGAGCGTTGGCGTAGTTTTCCTTGATCGAGAGGTGGTCGCAGTACATCCGTTTCCGAAAACGAGGGACATCCAGGGCCGTCTGTTCGTACTGATGAAACGCGATACGGGTCGAGAAAGATTGAACTTGGCGAGGAGAATGACCGAGTTCAGTAGGGGGAGCTGTTGGGCGGGGGGTAAGGGTGGCGATGGGGGGCTTGAAGGTGGCGGTGGGATGAGAAACGGAGGTGGAAAGGGCACCGAGCATAGATGCAGCGGTGGCGGAGAGGAAGAGGGAGGAAGCGAGGAGGTAAAGATGAACGATAAAGACGGTGCAGCGCATATTTGAACTGGGCGTGATAATACTGGTTAAACGAGGAGCAGAGGGAAGGGGGTGAGCAGTTATAAACGTGGTCAGGTGATTTCAAACTCTGGTTTGTGTATTGGCCTGAGGCAGACACCCCTACAAATGAACAACTCTACAACAGTATTATCTCCAGATAGTGTATAAACAAAATAAAATTGATAATTCCCATCAGGTGCCGGTCGGTCAATAATGTAGATGCGAAATTTCTAAGAACGGCCAACCATGAAGCGATAGGTCGAGTACCCTCCGATCAACGCAAATGCTGCTAGGCCTGCCACGATTGAGATAAACCACGCATATCCCTGTTGATTTTACAGCCTCGTTAGTTTAAGCAGTCCTCAATCAACGATGGTCCGCCTTACCTCAACATCCTCCCCAGGAACATGCACGTTCATGCCCCATAACCCAGTGATCAAATTCATAGGGATTAGCACGGTACCGAGCGCGGTGAGTTTCGACAGGACGTCGTTGATCTGGTTATTCGCATCGGTCATTTCAATAGAGATCTGCGCGAGGTAATTTGAGTGTGATCGTGATAAAATCTTCTCGTAGTGGTTCAGATTTTGGGTCATAGTGATCAGATGGTCCTGCACATAAGAGTTGAGCATGACTGCAACCATAGAGAAGGCGTGGCGCTTACTTGAATGTCCGAAAGGTAAAGGCCCTGTTTGGCAAGGAAGGGGTTAGTATTGAGCTTGTCGACAGACGGCAGGTACTCACAATGTCAGAAGTAGGAGCTACTCTCCAATTTTCATTACATCTCTTCGCCAGCCCTTTCACGACGTCTGCCTTATTGCCCATCAACCTCAGCAAACCCATAACTTTCTTCCGGCATGTGCCAATTCTCCTCAACATGTCACTCTGCTCCGCATCCTTGAGGATAAGCACCAGCTCGTCGATCGAGTCGACCTCGTACTCAATACTCTGAATAAGGGGACCAAAAGCATCGGTGATGTCATCGATCAGCGCATAAGAAATCCAGTCAGA